TTAATACATTTACTTCAACAATAAGTTCATCTAAACTAGATGCGCTTGTGTAAGGGATGAGGGTACTTACCGTGTGGATTGTAAGAGATTTTAGTTGGATGTTGGATGATGAACTTAACAAAGACTGTGATTTTAATGTTAAACAAAGTTTAACTTTGTAAGCACACAATCTTTGTTAAACTTACACACAATCTTTGTTAAACTTACGATGAAAAAATCATGTACCAAGAAAAGAGCTATAGTCAATGTATATGTACGTAGCTTACAGTTTACCTTTGTTAAAATGTCAATGAACATTTCGAATTCAATTTAAAGCATTCAAAGTTCTGTAGTGGAGTAAAACAATTGAAAACTGTCATGATGACTTTATTACTCATGTTCAAAAACAAAATCTATCGAAGTAACAATATCAAGGAAAAGGTATTCCGTTAAACCTCCATAACATTTTAGTGGAGATTAAAAGTTGAGATGATTGTGAAATCCTAGGCATAGATTCTAACTCCTTTTGTGTCTCTTCAAGATTGCAGGTTGCTAAGAGGGAGATCTCCACTGTCTTTAAACACTTTGAGTTAGCCAGAATGTATGTCACTAGTTGTCTCTCATCTCCTCGTCCTCCATAGCCTCTCCACCGAAAGATCTCCAGATGAGACGACAAGCATTCGGGAATAGAACTCGGCTGGTTCCAGGAAGGTGGGAGACACCGGCCGGAAACCTGATATCAATACAATTGCTTTAATGTTAAGTTCATTTAAACTAGCTAGATGCGCTTGTCTAAAAGGAGTAGGGTACTCTTACCGTGTTGATAGTAAGCAATTTAAGTTTAGGAGAATTTTGAAGGAAAAACATAAATGGTTCCAACCAAACTACTAAATTATCTGGAGAAAAGTAAAACTCGATGAGACGAGAGAACTTGATAGTGTTACAGCACGCAACCTGTGATAGAAAAAAAATAACATTAGTTGACGAAGCAACATGGAACAAATGAGAGGGACATGGATATGTAATCGCTACCACTGATTTGATCAAATGCAATTCCAGATGTATTACAAACGAAAGAGATCGCAGAAATTTGTCACCGAAGTTATGAGCATAGGTGAGGCCTGCCACATCAAGGCAAGGCATATTATCTATCAAGAGATGGTCTTCCCAGACATCGGTGAATAAAAACTTTTTTAATGCGGGGGAATCTATTAACACCGTTCCAATGAGATTATCATCATCCTCAACCTCATCTTCCTCTAACCCATCTATCTCATTATCCTCAACCTCATCTTCCTCTAACCCATCTATCTCATCATCCTCTGCCTGATCCTCCTCTACCTCAACAACTTTTACATTATCAGTCGAATAGAATAAGTATTCTAAGGAAGAAACTTTCACGGTAAAGGTTTTCAAGTTGTCATCCTCATGTCTATTCACACACAGCCACTTGAGAATAGGAGAACTTGATAAAAGCCTAACAAGAGAGTCTTCGTCTTTATACACAACGTAGTGAAGATTCAATTCTAAGAGAGATGGTAAGCTAGCCGGGGAAGAAACATCCACTAGAATCTGGTTGGATAGAGTTAAACTAACGAGTGTGTCACATGTGTAAAGGCCCTTAGGAAAGCTTGTGGGATCTGCGGTCCAGAGGAGCTTGAAATCTAAATATTTCACACCGCGATTAACTGCGTTCTCAACCCACTTTCCAACATCTACGTCAAAAGGACAATGTGGACCAAGTTCGACAATCAAACAATCTAGTTTCGGTGCCTTATGGAGCTGCAATGACTTCTCAATAAACCACCCAACGCTCTCGCTGCCTTCGTCTTTGAAGGCGAGGCCCGGCCGCATCGTCCAGACATAACGCCATCGTTTAGACAAGATTGAAGTGGCGATTACCTCTTTTGTTGGGACGTAATGCAAGATCTGCAAGAGCAAATCGTCAGGCAAAGCACAGATCCTAGTTTCGATTCTCTGATCACCTTCGGTTTCTGGAACGGTTGATAGATGCTTATCGATGTGTATAATATCCCACAAAAAAGACCAACAACTCAAGAAACCCATAGATGTGGGATCCCTAGACGCCAATGAACTTCTTTCTCGTCCCTGGCTGTGACAGAGAAAACCCTAATTTATTTCACACAAAAGTAAGTCTATATTGTAAAAAAGAAAAACAATTATTATACAAAACAAATATTTACTAGTGCATATAAAAAAGAAACTAAATTAAAGTTTCCCAATTTTTAAAAGTAAAACTGCAATATCGACACACATAAAATATATCAATCGATCCCCATTCTTCCATAATTGTTAGTTTTTTTTCCTTACAAATCTATCATCAAACCAAACAATATTGTTGAAAATCCAATTTTTCTAGTCCGATCCTTGTATTTCCATTTGTTATTTTGGATGATATTATTTTCCAATTCCCAATTTTGCCGCCAACCTTGATTGGTTTCTCTACTTGGTTTGCTCTAATTGCTTGCACTATCCTTGGTTTTGGTATGATCCATGGACGGTACAATGACGTTAATAAATGATGTTTGTATATTTAGCAGTAATTTGCATCAAAAAAATTTCTTCAAATACAAACATTGCCTTGACTGAGGGTGCATTTAGCTGTATGGACCAATTATAAGAGGCGAAATTGGAGTGAGAACAAATGGGTAAATGTTAACTGATCTTCGAGGGGTAAACAAACACTAATTTTAATTTGCTTTGGACCTATACCCAAGTTTAATATTTGGTAATTTGGTGTGAGTCACACCGTGTGACTTATTTTCATCACTTAAGCCACAATTGAAGAACTGTTTGATTGATTTTTTGATAATTTTGGCCTTTATCATTTGGGCTTACCCATTTTATAAAAAAAACGATTTTGAGCAATAAATCTACTTTCGCAGTTGCTTGTTTAATTTGACAAAAGAAAAACAAAAACAAAAAATATACATTTTCATTAACCATAGTTAGCAAAAATTACATCTACAATGATAATCATCTCAGAGACACGTATAAACTAACTTGTAAAACGAAGTAGCAGAAGAAAACCAACCAAAAGTAGGATAATCTAACAAAATTTGAAAATTTTAAATTTTCCAAAAAAATAAACGATAATATCAGATTATGCATGTTATTATTAGTTGTATCAACATTGTGGCAACATTGAGGTATCACGCAGTGAGGAAAGAGCCTTTGAAGGCGGTGCCTAAACGAGCTAGCACACTCAAGTTGGCTCAGCTCATCATGAGACTGCTTTTTTATGCTGATTATTTATGTAACGTGATCCACAAGCTTCAACCTTTTTTAATGCTTTGCAGCTGTAGTTTTACAAGTCTGTTCTTGCAGTTCTCAAATGCCCTAAGAGATTGTTGAGAAACACGATTGGGCTAGGACGTGGGCTTCAGTGAAACAGAACCAAATAGGCCTCGATAATTGGTGAGCCCATACACAATCCGAATCTGAGGTAAACGGAGCGTTTCAACTTGGCGGTTAAGGTTGTTACTTAAAGCTCGAATCTGAGACAGTTTTTTTACTTTAAAAAAAAAAAGTGAAAAAACAGAGCTAAGAGAGAGAGAGAGAGTGGGAGAGTGGGAGAGTGAAATAGGATTCTTCTTCATTATTTTTCTCCTAATCTGAGCCTTTTTGAGTGTTTAATCGCCGATTATCTAGCGGATTCCTCTAGTACTCACCGAGATGTACCAAAATCTGGTTTGATCTTGATATAACTTGGTATATTGCGGCGGCGTCTTAACTTTGTGTTCTTCATTCATTCGTTAATCCCCTGCAAGAATCAAGCCACTAGGGTTAATAATCTGCAAAGCAATCGAGCTACGATCTACTATCGATATGCACATATCCTTCATGGTCAAAATACTCATCCAATAATATATTAGTCTGATCGTCTCGGTAGCAGGCGGCCATCGATTTCAGCTTTCAAATTTTAGATGTTGGACCATGGATTGTTCTCTTGAACACCATGTTTTGCCTCAACCTCATCTGGGATTCTTGACTTAAACCTTAAATCAAAGAAGAGAAAAAAACGATCAATCAGAAAATATGTTACTTTCTAATTGAGTAGAATAAAAGATTAGAGGTCGATATAGAGAAAAGCAAGAAAGAAATGGTGAGAAATGTCGTATAATAATTTCATCAACAATTAGAAGAGAGCAAGAAAATATAAACAGCATTAGCTAACCATGAGAGATTAGCCAGTTTCTAAAAGCCATTGTGATGTCCTGTTTGATTTACAGATGTCGTGTGTGACAAGAAACATAACCACTAAATTTAGATAAAGAGAAGTGCATATGGACTCTGTGAATGTGAAAAATAGAAAGAAACCGATGTGGAGCAAAGTGAGGTGAACAGTTTTAGATTGTGAGATGGTTTTTCATCTTAATCGAAGTGTTGTAAGAGTAATTTCTAGGGGTTTACGAGATTAGGAGATTCTGAGTTAAGTAAATTTTAGATTTTAGGGATTACAACATTGAGTTTTATGTTTTATCATATGATTTTTATTTATTGGAATTTGGAAGGGATAATAGACTCTACAAGAGTCGATCACACTACTGGGCACACAAAACATCCCCAACCTTCCAAGTTCCAACTAAACTAAGCCATTTACCGAGCATGGCCTATACAAAAGAATTTACTCTCCATTGGGTCATATACAAAAGGATATTTTCCATTTTTGATTAATCCATTTACGTATGAAGCACAAGCCATATGTCAACTTAATTGCCATGTGTTTGTGCTTTTATACTCGGAGATTATGTATGTTTGAGGAAATTTAAAATTATCAAAATTTCCGTTAGTTGTGAAACGTATAGCTAGCAAGTGCAACTGGAAAAAAGCTATATTTATTATACCACAAAATCCATTTCTTCACCCATCACGATTAGAGAAGTATAGCTAGCAAGTGCAACTGGAAGAAATATTATACCACAGAATCCATTTTTTCACCCATCACGATTAGAGAAGCAAGTTCTATAAGTTCTATCATTTACCTTGATATATCTCCTTCATTATAGCTATATTTATTATACCACAGAATCCATTTCCTCACCCATCATGATTAGAGAAGCAAGTTCTATAAGTTCTATCATTTACCTTGATATATCTCCTCCATTAAAGCCTTTTTGTTCAAAAATCGTGGAAGTGCTTCTTTTTCTTGTGCTCTTTCTTCTTGGCGGCTTCACTCTTCTCTTTCTTCACTTTCAATTCGGCAGCTACAGCAGCAGGTAGAACTTGCTTCTTCTTTCCATTTCGCTTAGAGCCTTTTTCACGGTTTCGTACCTCCTTCAAACGAGCTTGAACTGCCTGTAGTCAACAAACAACCAATTAGCAATTGTCTCTTCTAAAGGAATTAGCCAACAATGTATGTCAGTAAAATGAGGTACCTCAGGGCTATAGTCAACAACAGTAGCATCAGGAATACCAGAAGAATTAGCAACAGTAGAGTCTGCTGCATTCATCAGTATAAATCAACAACAACAGTCAGTATAATTTCGCATCATTAACCAAAAGAGAAATCAGCAACAACAGAAAACATCACCATCAGAACCAGCAGTGTTTCGGGAGAAGAGGAAGTTGCGTAACCTGAGAAAGAACCTCCAGCAACAACCAGTAATCTACAGAGAAAATTTTGAGATTCCAATTAGCCATGATGCAGAAATTTTCAGATCCAAAACTCAAAAAAGGAAACTATAATGAATCTGGACCTATAGACGATGTAACAAAGCTACTAAACTAAACGAAAATCTCGGAATCCGCCATTAGAGAGCGAGAGAAGGAAACTATAATGAATCTGGACCTATATACGATGTAACAAAGCTACTAAACTAAACGAAATGATACAAAAACCACTTCACCTAGATGCTTAGGGAGCTTCGAGAATGGTGAATAAAGCGATTTAGCTTTTACACGAAACGAAAGATCTACGATTAAAAAAACTCTTAAAACTAAACGAAAAATCTCGGAATCCGCCATGAAAGAGATCGCTGATACCTAAACCAGTACACGTAGATACCTATGGAGCTTCGAGAATCGTGACTAAAGCGATTAGAGAAACTATTAAACCAAACGAAAATCTCGGAATCCGCCATTAGAGAGATCAATGTGACCTAAACCAGTACACCTAGACGCCTAGGGAGCTTCGAGAATGGTGAATATAGCGATTTAACTGTTGAATAAAGCAAAAATCAACTTAAATTAAAAGAAAATTGAGTACCTCGGGCTCAGAGTCTGAATCCGCCATTAGAGAGGGCGCGAGCTTCGAGAGAGAGAGAAATGATGAATGTTCTGTGAGAGAAAAGGCGGTTATTTCTTTTTGAGGACTTCCGACTTCCGACTTCCAAGTTTGTGACTTATGACTATGAGAGTGAAACAGAGCTTTTGTTCGGTCCAATGGGCTTCAATAGGCCCAATATCTTCACCGACTTTATCCTCACCTTCACTTTTACCACCATCTCATTACTGTATTGATATAAAAATAAAATAAATATGCGTTAATAATTTAATATGAGAGATTATACCATCTCATTTTTGCAAATCTATCGCTTTATTTTCTTAAGCGACTTTCACTTCTTCTTCTTCTTTCAATATTAAAAAGTTTGTATTTTTTTGTTTTTTAATAGGTTTTTAAATCACACTTATAATCCTAACAAGTAACAAAGGTTGTTTATCTTTATTCGGAAATTTTCTTGAAAAGAACTTTGAAGATTCTTGAAAGTAGCTTCTTTCAACTTGGTTTCAGTTAATTATTTTCCAGGAGATAAAAAAAAAGTTGTAAAATTTATGGTTTTCATGAAAGCAATATGAGAAAATTCACATAACACATTATACAAGGTACTACTACTTACAATGTTGATCATTGATAATGGAAATAAACTAGGTCTGGGCGTCCGGTTCGAACCGAAATAAACCGAACCGACCGAACCGAATCTTTCGGTTTTCGGTTTGACTTCAAGCTGAAGAGATAACCGATTGGTAAAATTATGATTGCACTTCGGTTATCGGTTCGGTTCGGTTCGGCAGACGGTAACCGATCGGTTTTCTCGGTTTAAGGCTACACCATATATAAACAAAAAAAACCTAGATCTAAGTCTTTCTTGTTTTTTCTTCTCCCGCAGCCAAAGAGGAGATCTTTTCTTCCTCCTTTTCTCCTTCGATCTTCTTCTCTTTTTCTTAGATTTTTCTTCCCCACCTATCTTCTTATCTTGTACAACTCTCCCTATTTCTCGTTGAGATCGTGTCCTAGACGAAGCTCTTCATCCTTCGATCCCTCACGATTTTCAGATAACTTGTAAGCTCTTCCTTTTTATCGTTAAACTTACTTTTCATGTAAGATCTATGCTTGTTAGTGTCTTTGATGTGTTTTACTCGTTAAACATAGTCTTTTGATGTTTAGAGATTTGTTATATTGTCAGATCCAGTAGATTGGAAGAGAGTAGCAGCGGAGAGATCAATCGTTTGTAACAGCGGTCTTGGTTTTCAGTCCGCCGTCATCGCTGTACATCGTCTTTTCTCGAAACCCTAATGTATAATCGTTTGTAACAGCGGTCTTGTTTTGTGATTCATTTAAATATTTTTGGGCTTGTTATCTTTGTTAGGCCCATTATTTTGTACTATGTAGTTGTATGTATGTGTTATTTAAGCCCATTATTATAATTTTTGGTCTAATTCGGTTCGAATTAACCGAATTAGAATAAAATTCGGTTAAATTCGGAATTGATTTTAAATCCTATAACCGAACCGAATAAACCGAGTACTGAACCGACCGAACCGAAGTTTTATTCGGTTTAGTTCGGCAGATTTTTAGAAATCCAAAAAAACCGAAAAACCGAATAAACCGAACCGATTAACCCGATTTAACCGAATGCCCAGGCCTAATGGAAACCAACTAGCACTAGATCAAACCCGAACAAAGGCGTCATCGTCAGTCTTCATGACAAACTTGGCCTAGTCAACCTCTGTCTATTCAAGAGATATCGTTAGTGAAGCAAAACAGTAAAAACTACTCAATCGCGTGTGTTAAGGAACAAATACTCCAACAATCACAAAATCAACAAATGAAATCTGCTTACAGGTGAACATGAAGCAATGTCCCTTCCAATATCAGAACGTGATATCCACAGGAGGAATGTCGCGAAATATAGTGACGGAAAGATTCTCCGAGTGAAATGCTTCTCGGTTTCTCGAGAAACCCTTGCCTCTTTTATTTCGTAAATTAATTTCTTGATTTCTTTTTAAAAGGACAATGGTTTAAAGTATAAACAAAACTGCAGAAGTCAAACAAGTTACCCGGTGGTGGACCTGATTTCACCTATCTATTTGTTCACCGCTACCATATTCAATGATAAATTTAGACATCATTTAAACTAAACAAGAATTATATAGTGAACCAAAAAAAAAACAAGAATTATTAGGTATAAGAAAGACAAATGATGTCAAAATATATATTTACTGGTTTTTCAAATTCTTTTTCTTCTCTCTTGATTTTGCTTCGCTATTCTTACAGTTTTACCCTAAGAAACATTTATACTTTTTAATTTATAAAACTGAACAAATATATTTAATAAAATGATAAAACTAACTATATCCGCATGGTAGGACTAGTTACACAAAAATATATATCTTTTGTTCTTGCTATATCCATAAATAAGCAATCTTTTTTTAATCTATGTGAAATAATTTCAAGAACCAAACATATCTTTTATTTCCTTTCTTAAAGTACAAGAACAAATCATGTAGCTTAGTTCCTTTGTAATGGTTGTGTTTTTTCATCTCTTTAGTAACTTTTTACGAATACGTGTACAACCTTCTATGAATAAGATCGTATATGTGTTCCTTTTTAGTAAGTACGTGCTTTGGTTGATGGAAAATTCAAATCCACCTTGAATTATGCAAGGCACGTTTAGTTTATGCTCTCCCTAGCCCTCTTTCTAGTTTATATGAACTCTTCGGATCTCATCTTTTAAACGGTTTTTTTCCGTCTCCCCTCTGCTAGCTTCATTGCATCGTCATCTATAGATTTTATTATATGCTTCACTAAACAAGCAATAAATTAAATATTTGGTATAGAAAATACATATATTATATCCCTTCCATTTTTCATACATGTTCAAAGTCCAGTTTACATTTTTTAGTTATTCCAAATTTGTAAAAACTTTCAAGTATACCTTTGCCCACATGTGAACAGTTTTAACATTTTTCATCTCGACTATTAAAAAGTTTACTGAATTAGAGTTGTCGAGTTGATAAGGCAAACAAAATTGCAATCAGTAAACGATATATAGCTTGAGTAGTTATAGCATATACTGTATATGACATTATATATCAAGAAAACGTTGTTTCATGAAACTTCCATTCCATTTGGGTGGGGAATAGAAGCCGAGATGTTGTTGAAATCCTAGGCATAGTAACTAACTCCTTTTGCCTCTCCTCAAGATTGCAGGTTGCTATGAGGGAGATCTCCACTGTCTTTAAACACTTTGAGTTTGCGAGAATGTATGTAACTAATTGTTTCTCATCTTCTCTTCCTCCATAGTCTTTCCAACCAAAGATCTCTAGATGAGTAGACAGGCATCCGGGAATAGTACTCGGCTGGTTCCAAGAATGTTGGAGATCCCCGGGTTCCTGATATCAAATACATTTACTTAATGTCAAGTTCATCAAAACTAGATGGATGCGCTTGTTTTAATTAGTGATCGGAGGAGGGGGTACATACCGTGCTATTGATCATAAGAGTTTTCAGTTTTGGAGAATTTTGAAGCAAAAACATTAGTGGTGTCAACCAATCTACCAAATTCGTTGGAAGAAAATACAACTTTATGAGCTGAGAGAAGTTAATGGCGCTACAACAAGCGACCTGTGATAGAGAAAAAAATATTAGTTGACAAAACAACAAAGAATATGAGAGCTAGAGAGATATGAAATGGCTACCATTGATTTGGTCAAACACAAATGCATATATGTGACAGAAGAAAGAGATCTAAGAAACTTGGCATCGGGATTAGGAACAAAGCCGATGTCTGCCACATCAAGGCAAGGCATATTCTCTATCAAGCAATAGTCTTCCCAAACGTCAATTAAGTCCAACATTGTTAATGAAGGGCAATCTATTACCAACGATCCATAATCATGGTCTTCCTCATCCACTTCTACCTCATCTTCCTCTACCTCATCATCTTCTACCTCATCTTCCTCTACCTCATCCTTGCGCCAAGAAGTCATATAAAATAATGTTTCTAAGGAAGACACTTTCACGGTAAAGGTTTTCAAGTTGTCATCTTCATGTCGTTCCACCCACAGGTACTTTAGAATAGGAGAACTTGATAAAAACCTAACCAGAGAGTCTTCGTCTTTATATACCACATCGAGAAGACTCAGATATAAGAGAGATGGTAGGCAAGCCGGGGAAGACACATCCACAAGAATCTGGTTCGATAGAGTTAAATCAACGAGTGTGTCGCATGTGTAAAGGCACTTAGGAAATCTTGTGGGCTCTGCGGTCCAGAGGAGCTTGAAATCTAACTCTTCCACACCTCTGTTAACTGCGTTCTCAACCCACTTTCCGACATCTACGTTAAAAGGACAATTCTGACCGAGTTCGACAATCAAACTATCTAGTTTCGTTGCCTTATGGAGTTGCAATGACTTTTCAATAAAGCACCCAACGTTCTCGCTGCCTTCGTCTTTGAACTCGAGTCTAGGCACCATCGTCCAGACATAACGCCATCGTTTAGACAAGATTGAAGTGACGATTGCATCTTCTGTTGGGACGTGATGCAAGATCTGCAAGAGCAAATCGTCGGGCAAAGCACAGATCCTAGTTTCGATTCTCTGACAACCTTCGGTTTTTGGAGGGGTAGATAGATGCTTATTGACGTGTATAATATCCCACAAAAAAGACAAACAACAAAAGAAACTCATAGATTATTCGCAATACCCAATCGCCAGTGGAACCAAACCCTATTCCGTCTTTACTTATTTCTTGTCGCTGGGTGTGACACGGAGAAACCCCTTAATTTTTTCACAAAATTTTTTATGAGACTAATATTGCACACACTTATCTTCGTAGGTCTATATAGTTTTTATTAAGTATGAAAAATATCTTTTAATTAGTGCATATGAAAAAAATGGAAATAAAGGACATTTTTGTTGTTTATCTATTTATACCTTTTTAATTAAATTGCCAATTATGTCTAAACTCCCCTTTTTAATAGATTAAACCAAATTTATGAAATTTCCAAAAAGATAAAAATAGAAGAAAAATATTCAAAAGGAAGAAA